GAGTTTAGTTTCGAGGGTTTATGATTTGTTAAGGGTCAAAACATTTTTGAGGATTTAGAATTTTAAGATTTAGGTTTTAAAAATCCATAATTAGTTATATTTTTATAAATAAGCAATCTATAGTGATATTTTTACAAAATATATATATCAAAAATATCATTTTTATTGATGATATTTTTTAGTGATATTTTAGTGATATTTTTGTAATTGTTCCATAAATTTTATTGATGATCATTTAATTACGTTTTTTTATACTGTACTAGATCATCTCATATTCAACACAAATTATTTATTACATCTTTTACAAGTTACAACGAAGTTTCAATGATTGCGAAACTGAGTCGGTGAGACTTTAATGAACGCAAACGCCGCGCGTTTCGTGCCCACGCGTTCACCTTATTAACGCTACGAACGAAACTAATACATGCGTGTTAATCCACTCGTGCGATGACACGTGTATAAATTAGCTTGACGTCAGCCAAAGTTAACGTCACAAACTTCCGTCACGTGTGTGCCGGTGCCACGTGTCCATTATATAGTTGTTTTCCTTCACGATTACGTGGCGGCGTTAATTAACGGCCGGTTTTTTGTTGCTATCTAAGAAGAAATACGGAAAATATCAAATGTGGCTTAAAAAGTTTTTTGTTTTTAAATAGCACATTGACGTTGATGCTTAAGGAAACAAACTATTTCTGATTATTTGAAGATGTTTAATAATCAATCGGTAAATTAAAGGATGAAAGAATGTTTCAACAAATGAACAAAAATATAAATCAGTAAAGCTAAAAAGAATTTAAGTTTGGTATCACAAAGTCAAAAGTGAAATGTAGACGAAGTTTCTTGGAAAATAAAATAACCATTAAGATTTTTCGTGGATGATTTTGGTTGAGTGATTCTAAGGAAATATGGAACTTCAAATTTGTTCTCAATGCCATTTTAATTATCTTTTATTGACAAGCAACTTTATCCGTGAAGTTGTCGCAAAAGGGAGTTTTTTTTATTGATTGAAGGACAATTATTAGTGAGAAAGACATGTTTTAGGGAGTACATATTACAAAAAAGGGTTACTGAAAATGATCGATTCATCTATCTATCATATAGTAAGAATCCTCTATTGAGATCATGTTCATTTTTTTACAATAGGATTGATGAGCATTATTTATGATTTGTTTTTTTTTATTTCAAATAACAACTTTTAGATCCGTAAATCAGATATAATGAACCGAATAAATACGGTTAGTACATTATAACAAAAGTGACATAGAACAAAAATAAATAATTTGAAAAAAAAAAGTATATTTTTTTTTTATCCCAAACGCAAGAAGTGTGAGTTAGAGCTGCGCGGATTGCCTAAGCCTTTGTTATTAAATAACTGTCAAACTTTAGGTAATATATTTCAAGTTGACTATAATAACTTGTTTTTCATAAAAAAAAAAAAATTGCTAAACAAATATGATATCTGTTGTTACGAGCGACATGTTTGCCTTGTGTTGTAATAACACATATAAATCGTTAAAATGGAATTCTATATATACTAGTGATTTGTTGCGTCTTTTATGTGTTCATCACAAAACAAACAAGTTAAATGTCACACCCTTAGTTAAGATCTAGTTCAATGTTGGAACAATTCGGTGAATTTGAATCCGTGTATATCCAACTATATATACATATATTATTAAAGTGAAGAGAAGCAATGAAAATAGACAAAGAGGTAGACAGATAGAGTCGAATGAATTGGACATATTGGACGAATTGGGGTATTGATAGATGCATAGTCTTGAGCTAAAGACAATGACTTAGCCAAATTTTTGGATACCTTTGGACAAGTGTGGTTCCTACTTCTAGTGATCCCTTCGATAATTTCCAAACATAATTTAACTTCTTGGTTCATAATTTCAGTATGGATATTGGATACTCTCGTATTAAGTATGTCTTGTTCCATGTCTCTTAATTTTTGCTCAATTAGTCAAAATATTAAAATCTTATCTATATATACATATAAGTACAAATAACTATACTTTTGGTACATACTTAAATAACTATTTGAATTTTGAATTATCGAGTTAACTATACAAATAACTAAAATAGTGATTATCTATCGTTGTTATTAAAACCATAATTATTGTTTCTAACTATACTTTCATTTTCCTAGATCTTATCGTTTCTACTTATATCATGCATGAATCATATAGTCGCGAAGGCACAACTTGATTAATTATTTCAAATGACTTTAGATGATATTAAGACCGACATTTAATTGGGTGTGAGAGGTGGAAATAGAGATAAGGTGTTTGTTTTCTTGATTAGTTCAATATGAATTTGTATGGGACCTTCTTAATTACATCCACGTTGATCTTAATTTTGGTTAGAGGCTTTTTCTTTGTCCTACTACGTAATTAAAATTATTTATTCAGCCTTCATCGCATAAACACATCTAGATATACATGGAAATCCACGTGCGCTTTGCTAATAATCGAAACTCGGAAGTACTATAGTTACAAATTTTTAAATAGTATACGTAGAATTTACAAAATAACCACATAATTATAACTCAAGCATATGTACATCAGTACATATATACTAATTTAAAATTTTATCTTTGTTGTTGTTGTCTTTAAATTTGACTTGTGACTCGTGACGTGCATTAACAGGAAACGAGTACATTGTCGACTAGACCATAACTCAACGACAACAACCAAAAAAAAAAGTTTGAAATAGTATACAAAGTATAACAAGTAATGATAACTCAATCAAATACAGATGAAAACACATTACCAAAATCTCAAAACCAGAATGATGGTATTTTACCAATTAATTTTCGGTGAGCCTAGACTACAAATCGATTCTCAATTTCTCACATGCTATAACGAAATTCATATAGTTGTTGAAGATTTTACTACGATATTCTCCTATTATTTTTTTCTTACAAAATCTCAGATCGTACTAATACTGTAGCAGTATTATAACAAATCAGACTAAGAAAACAAAAAAAAACTAAAACTGTAGCATTAAACTTTCTAATAAGTACACCAATGCATTAATATGTAGGAGAAAAATAAAATTAACAATAAAAAAAAAATCAAGAGTGAATGGGCTTCAAATAACTCGTTTATTGGGCTTGATTTGTCCAAATTCGGCCAATCTTTAGTTTAGCGACTCATTACATATGCACGGTTTAGTCCCCAAATTGATCGGTTTAGTAATTGGTTAAACCAATTTGCTTCGGTTTACTAAAACCAATCCCTAAATCGCTTCTTCTTGAAACCCCTCAATGCATTTTTGTTCTCGCTGCATCATAATCTCAGGTCAAAATTTTATCTGGTTTCAAATAAAGTTTCCACCTTTTTAACTCCGATTTCAAAACAAAAAAAAATTCAATTACAGTTCTTCAGATTGTGTTACTGGAAGTGAAGTATCAGAACAGTAGTAATGGCGTTATGTAACTTCAATACAACTCGTTTGGGATTTCCTTTGCAAGGATTATCAGTGAGTTTCTTTGATTTTCTCCCTCAATTCAATTGTTGGCTTTAGGGCAAGATTTCGTTCTCTTCAACACTTTAGTTTTAGTTATGTCAGATGTGTGATTCTTCCAATTGCAGAAATCCCAGAGGAAATTTGCATTCTTTTCAGTGATTGAATTTCCGATTTCTGGAAGCTACTGTACATTGAAGACGGAAAGGTTTGGTTTTTGCATCAGGGCAAAGGTAAAATGTTGTTGTAGTTACTGTTTTTTTGCATCAGGGCTCTTTTGTTCTGTTTGAATCAAATCTATAATGGTGGAATTGTGTCAAGTTCTTAGAGAAGCAAGACAAGAAATTGGAAAGAGGTTATGGAACAACTGTGAAGAGGTTTGTTGTTTTGTTGTATTACTAAGTAATCATTGAAATTGTGTGTCTTGATTGATTCATTTGTAAGTTGTGTTGATATTGTAGGAGAGAAGATGTAAAGAAGGTAGGGAAGAAAGAGCATCATTTGTGGAAGAAGAATGATTCTGCTGGATCCGGTCAGAAAGCGCTTAATCTTGTCCGAATGGTAATCGAGAACAATTCTGTTACAAACCAATGTTTTTTTTCCGGAATCTTTGTAATCGAAACAAAATGATAATCAAGTGGTCAATTGGCAGCTCTCTGGACTTCCAAATGAAAAAGAAGTTGTTTATGGAGCTTTGAACAAATGGGTAGCTTGGGAAGTTGAATTTCCGATTATTGCTGCAGCGAAAGCGTTGCAAATCTTAAGGAAGAGAAGCCAGTGGCATCGCGTGATTCAAGTACGTAACATGACTTTGTATGATTCAAGTGCAAGTTTTTGGTAAATATGGTGTCGTGAGTTGATTGGTTTAGTTGAAAAACTTAGGTGGCTAAGTGGATGTTAAGTAAAGGGCAAGGCGCTACAATGGGAACATACGATACTCTCTTATTAGCATTTGATATGGATGAAAGACCTGACGAGGCAGAATCGTTATGGAATATGATTCTTCATACGCATACACGATCTATTCCAAGACGTTTGTTTGCTAGGATGATAGCTTTGTATGCCCACCATGACCTTCATGATAAGGTTATCGAGGTAAATCAATTTTGTGAGAACTATACATTCTCTTTGCAAGAAGTATGACTTGCTTTTAGACTCATTTTCTTTCGTTTTTTTCTCTTTCAGGTGTTTGCAGACATGGAGGAGTTGAAGGTGAGGCCAGACGAAGATACAGCGAGGAGAGTGGCACGTGCTTTCAGGGTACTCGGTCAAGAAGAAAAACAGAAATTGATTCTTAGAAGGTACCTCTCTGAATACAAATACATCTACTTCAATGGTGAAAGGGTTAGAGTCAAAAGATATTCATCTGAAGAAGATTGATTTCATTCTCATGACCACACACACTCATGTGTATATGTATATGTTACTCCCCAAAGTTTTTACTCTTGATTTGTAATTTCTAAAAAGAGTGGTAAAAAGAATCTACATTAAATAAAGTGATCTTATTTTCTTGATAAAAAACAAATGAATTGTCAGTGTTCAATGATGCTCATGCTTTGTAGTGTTCTCATAAATCCTTGCATGTGGTTGGTGTTGTAGATATGATCA